CGGGGCGGGGGTCATGGGGTGGGGGGCCCTGCCCCAGACCCTGACGCCCCCGCCCCGCAGTGATCCAGTACGGCTTCACCACCATCTTCGTGGCCGCCTTCCCGCTGGCGCCGCTGCTGGCTCTCTTCAGCAACCTCGTGGAGATCCGCCTGGACGCCATCAAGATGGTGCGGCTGCAGCGACGGCTCGTCCCCCGCAAGGCCAAGGACATCGGTCAGGCCCCCACGGGGTGGGGGGCCCTGAGGAGGGCGGGCGCTGGGGCCAGGCAGCTTCTGACCCATGCTGGGTGTGGGGAGAGGGTGAGAGAGGTGTTAGGAAGGCCCCAGTCGTGGGCCCAGGTTAAGGGGTCCCACTTCCCTGGAGTGGGACCCAGGAGGTGGAGTAGGCTTGGGTGGCTGAAAAGTTCAGGCTGAAGCGGGGGACACCTGGATCCCTCCCTGTGCACGTCATGGTGGTGGGGTGCAGGAGGGCTGCGGCATGTTCTGTCTGTGATGGGCATGTCCTAATGCATTCCTTGAGGCCCTGGCCCCAGTGCGGTGCCATGGACAGAGACATGACAAGGCCCCTGGGCCAGCCAGGCTCCCAGGGCTGGGGGTGGGGGCTTGAGGAGTCAGACCAGCTCACCCACTGCTCCGGCTTAGGGACCTGGCTGCAGGTTCTGGAGACCATCGGAGTGCTGGCAGTCATCGCCAACGGGATGGTCATTGCTTTCACGTCTGAGTTCATCCCGCGAGTGGTCTACAAGTACCGCTATGGCCCATGCCGACAGGGGGCTCACCCTGCAGTTGAGTAAGGCCTCAAAGCTGTCTGACCCCTGGGAGAAACTGGCCCTACCACAGCCAAGCCCCAGGGGAGCCCCGACCCTTTATCCTGGGGATGGCTGGATCACCTGGGGCTGAAGTGAGGCTGCGGGTGGGGGGAGGGGTGGCGCTGCCCTGCACTAACCTGCAGACCCTGGGCTGGAGCTCAGGGATGACTGACCTGGGCCCTCGCTGGGGATGCAGGTCCCAGCTCCAGCTGTTTTCTGAGCAGGCACTACCGAAACGCTCTGCTCCCAAACTAGGTCCTTGCTTCTGGTGTGGGAGGGCAGAGCAGAATCTTACCCAACTCCTCCAGCCCTCAGGGGGCCACCACAGCTGCAGACCAAGTCTCCAGAGGGTCGCCCCCCCTCCCAACACTCCCCTTAGCCCTGGCTGGGAAGGCAGCTGGTGGTGTCCCAGAGGCCCCCCAGGCGTGGCAGTGTGCTTGGCCAGCAGCCCTCTCCCACCCACGCAGGGAAATGGAGGAGGTGGGCTGTGGAGTGCCCCACCCTGCTTGCCCCCACTGAGGCCGGTTAGCTCCAGGAAAGCACCCAGGGGCCTGAAGGGGCCACACCTTGCCGCCCCTCCCCCCCCACACTCCTCTGCCCTCTTTCCAGCTGCCTCACAGGCTACGTCAACCACAGCCTGTCCATCTTCTACACCAAGGACTTCCAGGACCCTGTTGGGATAGAGGGCTCGGAAAACGTGACTGAGTGCAGGTGTGGAACCCCTCATCCCCCGCAAATGCCCTCTGAACTCCTGACCCCTAACCTCCAGCACTTCCCTACTCCAGGTACAGGGACTACCGCAATGCCCATGACTACAACTTCTCGGAGCAGTTCTGGTTCCTCCTGGCCATCCGCCTGGCCTTCGTTATCCTCTTTGAGGTGAGCCAGAGCTAGGGGGAGGGGGCCCCTGGCTGGGGGTGGGGAAGCTGTCTCTCTGTCCTCCTCCCTGGCCCCAATCCCTGAAATCCCTGCTTGTCCTGACTTTGCCCACTCCTCCTGCCCCTGCGCCCAGCACGTGGCCTTGTGCATCAAACTCATTGCTGCCTGGTTCGTGCCTGACATCCCTCAGTCGGTGAAGAACAAGGTTCTGGAGGAGAAGTACCAGAGGCTCTGGGAGAAGATGTGGAAAGGGAGGCCGAGCTGGGCGGGGGCTGGCCCGGGGTCCTACTCCCGCACCAGCACTAGGAGCACAGAAGTGTAGGGGGCCAGGGGCGTGAGCCACTGGGACCTGAGACTAGAGCCGCTGCAGCCTCCCACCCCTGCCCATCGCCGTGTGTGTTCAGGGGTGTTGTAGGAAGGCCACGTATACGGGGCTCCTACAAGGCCCGTGTGTATGAGGGGCTACTGGAGTTCCATGTGTGTTTGGGGCATCTGCATAGCGGGCCTGTGGGGCCTGTTCCATCTGAGGGCTCTTGGGGACCCAGCACCCACAGAACTGACGGGGGCTTCCCATGCCATCACAATGCAGAAAAGCAGGCCCCAGTTTCCTGGGCCTCCCTCTGACTTCGGAGCCCCAGGCCCTGCCCCGCCCCCATACTGGCTGGGGGAAGGCTGAGGCCACCTCTCTGGCTGTCTCTGCATAGGCCTGGCTCCCTCAGCCAGAATTTTCTGTAATAAAATCAAACCTGTTTGCGTTGTTTTCTGGGCCCAAGTGGATTGTGTTTGCCCTCAGGGTTAGGTGAGAAACTGAGGCCAGAGGGTGCAAGGTCTGGAATGTGGTAGTAACCTCAGGCCACCTGTTCTCCGCATGCTTCCGCCTGAGGGGTGCATTACTCAGGTCGTGCCCTCCCTGCACCTGGGGTTTTGGGGTGGCCAGAAAAAACGGCAGCGTTGGTTGGGGCGAGTGGTGGCCAAGACAGGCTTCCTGGAGGAGGGGGAAACGCTGGGGGATGGGGGGCAGAACCGCACAGGTGCCCCCGTGGGCGGCAGATTCTCTCGGGCTGGTTGGGCCGGTTTGGCCACTGCCCCCAGGCCCAGGCGGCCGTCGCCCCCGGGGCTGAGCGCAGGGCAGTCTCAGCGCCAGCCTCAGGCGCAAGCGGGACACCTGGGTCAGCCCTCACCCTGGCTGCGGGGCGGGGCCGGACCTGCAGCCGCCCGGGCTGTCGCCGCTGCGCACCTGGCTCAGGTGAGCTGCCCCGCCTCCGCGGCCGCGCGAGCCCCAGGTCCCGGCAGCAGGTGAGTGGAAGTCGCGACTCCGACCCGCGGAGGTGAGTGGAGGTCGTCGTCCCCCCGAGCCGCTCCAGGCCTGGAGCCGGGGTCCCCAGGGCGCGGTCGCGCAGGAAGCGGCTCCGAGCCAGGCAGGCTCGCCCGTGTCCTTGCCCCTTCGCGGCTTCGGGAGACGGTGCCGGGGGGCGGCCCTTTCCGCTCTGCCCGACGTGGCCCGTGGCTTTCTGGTGAACCCTCAGCGCAGGAGAGCGCAGGGGCGAGGAGCGCCGAGGCGCGCAGGGACCCCACCTCCGCCCCGCAAGCCCGGACTCCAAGCCTGAGACTTCCTGAGGCGCCGGCGGCGGAGGAGCTTCCGCCCTCTGCTGCCCTCGCGGCGCCGGACCAGTCAGCCGCGTCCCCGCCTCGGTGCGCGCCCGCATCCGCCGTCCGCGCGCTCCCCAGCCTCCGTGCGCGCTCCCGAGCCGCCCGCTCACAGCGCCCCGAGGGTGGGGGCAGCAAGGCCGTGGTCCCGCAGTGAGCGGAGCGCGGGATGTGGAGCCTGGTGGGGGAGAGCTGGTCGTCGTGGCCCGGGAAAGCGAGACGCAGCCGCTGGGCGCGTGGGCTGCAGCCTTTTACGCACGTTCCTTCCTTCGGGAGAGACGTGTGGGGTCTCGGCACGCGCCGGGAGCGGAGGGGCGGCGTGTCCGAGACAAGCGGGAGACGCTCAGAGATTGCGGGGTGCTGAGCAGCGAACCCGACGGGGGCCAGGAGAGAAGGGAGCGCCGGTCGGGGGCCAGGCCGTCCCGGAGGCTCGCCCCGCGCGCAGCCAGTGCGGGGCCTGAGGGCAGGAGGCGCTGGCGCTTTCTAGGAAGGACAGAGTGTGGTGGGCAGTGCAGCGTGACCGAGAGGCGAGGCTTGCACTTAGATTCCGGTCGCCCTGGGGAGCGCACTTGGCAGGGGGAGGGGCAGGATGGGGCGGGGGGCGTTAGCACAGGGGGACGTCAAGTCACGTCAAGCCAGCCCCGAGAGATGGTGACACAGCCTAGCGCGCAGAGCGGAGGGTTGGCGGCAGCTCCAGGGGGCGGGGAGGCGGGTTGGGGGCGGGGCCTCCGGCTGGAGGACCTGCCTCTGCGCTTCCTCCTGAGCTGTGCCTCAGCTTCCTGACCTGCAGTGTGGGGAACACAGCACTACCCCTTGGGGAGGTGCATTGGCGCTCAGGAGGACCCACTGGGGCACCTGCAAAGTGTGCCGAGGGAGCTGAGGCCCGTGGGGGAGGAGTGCTGTCCCCTCCAGCTCTTTCCCACCCTGAGCCCAAGGTGCACCTTCACCCAGGGTTGAGTGCCAGGCCACAGGGGGTCTGTCTGAGCAGGGCTCCGCGGTCAGATCAAGCTGTGGCAAAGCCGCTGCTTTGGGGGTGCTCTTCTGCTGGGCGGGGAGGATGGAGGGCACCCCTCCAGGACGAGGCCCTGCTCCTGTGCGGGTCAGGAAGGTGCTAGGGACTGAAGGAGACCCCTGTCTGATTCTATGGGCAATACCAGCCCCTGGTCACTGGGCCCTGAGTCCCAGGTCAATCTGGGGGTGGGGGGTCAGTGATAACAACAGGAGATGCCAGCTGCCCCTCACCTTGCTCAGAGCCTCTGCCATGGCCTCCTGTGTTTGCTTCCTTATCTGGAACAGGGCACTGCCCTCCCACCCCAGCCCACCCAGCCTGGAGCTAGGGTCCACGAGATGCCACAGCTCCCTGCAGCCACTAGCCCATCTGGGAGACACGCTTGGGAGATGGACAGAGGGCAGAAGAGCCCTGCTTGAGGCCCCATTGTGGGCTGGAAATTTCTGAACCTGCCCCCCCTACCCCCTGCAGGTCAGGGGTGCTCACTTGGGCCTGGAGGGACAGATGACTCCCTCCTGAATGTTGAGTGTGGCGTCACGGGGGTGTCCAGGAGGTGGGCTGCGCTGCCGCTGGTCCTCCTTGTGTGTGTGCAGGACCCCCCCCACATCCCCCGGCCCCTGCCCCTCTGAGCATCCCCCCCATACCCTGCACAGGGGAGAGTGCAGTGCCTGCTGGGCTGGGTGGGCCGCAGAGGAAGGAGCTGCCTGACTCAGAGCTACAGGAAGAGCTGGGGCAGGCGGGGCCAGAACCACCAACTGCCCGCCTGCCGGGGAAGGGGTGGGTGCCTGGGTGGGGTTTGGGTTCAGGAGAGGATGTGACTGCAACGCCAGGAAGCTACGGGGGAAAGTTCTGATTAAAATATACATAAACAAAAGCCAGGTCCTCACCGTGCTTGGTAGTGGATCCCTGGCAGCTGCCGTGCCGTGGATGCTGCCCGGGGCCCCGCCGAGGGGAGAGTTTGCTCCCAAATGCACATCCGTGACCGCCATCTCTCCCCAGGAGGAAAGAGCTGGAACCAGGTGACTGTGCCCTCTCTGCTGCTCTGAGCGAGCCTGTGTCAGGGCCCGTCCTTAGAGCCGGGTCTGGGGAGGGGAGGCCTGTAGCACACGGGGCACATGCGCATGTGTGTGCACGTGTGTGTATGACAGAGTGAGGGCAGCGGGAGGCTGCCCGTGTGGCACTGGTGGCCAAGGGGAGGTGTGAGATACAGCGTGGGGGCTGCAGGGTGCCTGTGGCTCTGCGCTTTTCGAGAGGAGTTCCAAGTGTCCTGTGTGCCCGGGAGGCACACAAGGTGCTAACGGGCCGAGCGTGGACCTTGGTGCAGGTGTGCATGGGCCAGAGGGCTGTGTGTAGGGGTATGTAGGGCAGGGTGTGCAGGGAGAGGGTGTGCAGGGGAGGGAACCTGGTGCTTGCTGTACTCCCATCCTAGCACTGTGGCCTCGATTTCCAGAAAGAAGAGTCTGAGGCTGCCTCTGCAGGGTTGCGCGGTCTGAGCTGGGGGAGGTTGAGAGGCCACTGTAGGGGACGCCTGGGACCTGCTGGGCATGATGGGAGCGCTGGCTGCACTGGGGAGTGTCTCTTGCAGTCTCCAAGTGGGCAGTGCTCCCGCTTCAAGGACTTTCCTGGGACTGTCCACCACCCCAAAGGGCTTCTGCGAGGACGCCTTGCCCATCCCCAGGGAACACACCTCGGGCTCCATCAGTTCCTGTGGAAATTGTAACCCAGCCAAACCTGGGGCTCTGGCTGTGCCTCACCCTGTGCAGAAGGAACAGGGTCGGGGCAAACTAAGGGTTTTCCCTGCCAAAGCCTCTGGAGCCTTAGGGATGGAGACATCCCAGGGAGCCGGTCACAAAGCCTGGGGCCCCACTCCCCGTGTGTCCATGTAGCAGGGATGGTCGGAGGTACTCATGCAATGCCTGTGGGAGAAATGGGGGGTGAGCCTGGGGTACCCAGGGAGGAGGAGACCCCCCAGGGCCCAGGGCACCTCCTCCTTGCAGCCACATCACTGCCGAGCTCTATGAGTCACGAGGGACATGGCTTGGAATGGTCCTGGGCCCTGCACAGGAGAAGCGTCGCCTCTGGGTGGGGCAGGAGCTTCCCACGGAGAGCTGGACAGAACAATGTGGACAAAGTCTCTGGGTTTGGAATAGACAAGTCAGGTCATGGAGAGGGCATGGGAGTGGGACCCTTCAGACTGGCCTTTGTCTCAGCCAGTCTCACCCTGTAGCTGACCTCAGGGTGTCTGCAGGTGTCCCGCACCTGCGTGCATGTGTGCAGTCTTGACTGTGCCCAGAACAGAAGCCCACAGCTGGGAGCGAGTGTGGGCCAGAGCCAGGCAGCTGGGCACCTTCCCTGCTGTGGGGGGCATGTTGCTCACCCCCTGGCCCCCCAGGGCCTGGCTGTCATGGGTACTGCAGCACCCACCTGTGTGTGGCAGCCCTGCCAGGAATGAAGCCAACGGCTGCCTTGTGGGACGGGTCCCCCTGGTGCATGGCCACTGTGCTCCCCCGGCCATCATGGTGGCCCTGGGGTGGGTGGAGGTTGTCCTGTGTTCCTGGGCCTCATGAGGTAGTCCCTATTCCGGCCCTGTGTAAGGGGCTCAAAGCAACCCCAGGCTGGCATCTGGGAGTCCTGCTGGCAGCCATGAGGCTGGTAGGGTGGTACCTGATGCAGGGCCAGGCTGTCTGTGGCCGATGGTTGCTAGTTAACTCATCCTGTTCCTGTTTAACTTGTTCCCTGGGGATGGCGGCAGCCTCTGACCCATCCAGGTGCCCTGTCCAACCGACCACAGGGACAGAGAGGAGTCCTGCCAGCCCTTGGTGCACCAGTCTGCTCCGCCAAGGAGCCCTGTGGAGCTGGGGGTGGCACCAGTGCTCAGCCTGCCGTGAGGACGCCCCAGCCAGAGCCATGGCAGGTAGGCAGGTCAGAGAGGGACAGGTGAGAGTCCCACTCCCTCCTCCTGTCCCTCAGGCTGCCCCTCACCACGCTCTCTGCTCTTACCCAGGCTCTCTGCTTGGCTGTGTGCCAGAGGTACAAAGGCCTCTGCTCAGCCCTCCCCTGTGCCCTCGGTCCTGAACCCGGGGCCGACGGTGTGGGTGGGCCCCGAGCTCTCTCCTGCCCAAGGCCTCCAGCCCAGACTCATGGGGGTCAGTAAGGCCCAGGAATGCCAGGAGTGGGCACTGGTGGGCCACTGGGGTTGGATGGAGGCTGGTAGGAGACCACAATCTACCAAGAAGAGGGCGGTCTACTCCACTAGGGCTCACCACCCTGATGCAAAGATGACAACGTTCAGGCCTTGGGGAGGTAGGGAGGGCTTGCTTGTGGCCAGGAGTAGAGGGCCCCCGAGCCCAGGTTTCCAGCTCTGCCAGCCTCTGAGCCCCCAAAACCCACATGTGCCCACACCCCCTGCAGCTCCCCCAGCAGAGGCAGGTGGGCTGAAGGTACAGGGCCTGGACCTCCTCTAAGGTGGGCAACAGGTGCACATGGGAAATGGGGGGGGGCTGGATGCAAGTCCTGGGTGAACCAGCAGCCAGATGGGCCCTGTATGGCAGGGCTGGGTCAGCTCAACTGTTACCCTGGACGCTGCCCCCCACGCAGGTGTCCCCTCTGAGCACAGGGCAGTCACAGGCAGGGCAAGCAGCACACACAAGTTCTGACCACCGCTGGGGGAAAACGTGCCAAGTGCTGGGCCCTTGCCCCTGCCACTCATGATAGCCATGGTGTGACCACCAGGGCACACAGTGACTTGCTACCTTGCTTCTTCCCGCACCACAGACTATCTGGGATGGGCAGGGTCTGTCATCCTGGCACGCTGACCTGCTGTGTCCTTTTTCTTCAGGTGTCTGTGATAGGGCCCCTGACTTCCTCTCCCCCTCCGAAGACCAGGTCCTGGGGCCTGCCCTGGGCAGTGCTGTTGCTCTGAACTGCACAGCTTGGGTGGTCTCTGGGCCTCGCTGCCCCCTGCCTTCCGTCCAGTGGCTGAAAGACGGGCTTCCCCTGGGCAACCGAAGCCACTACAGCCTCCACGAGTATTCCTGGTAAGAGACCGGGGTGTCCAAGGTTAGAGGGACCATGCAGACAGACCATGGCCAGCAGCCTGACGTACACCTGGTCTAGAACCACCTGGGAATGGGCTGGGTAGTGACTGGCTGGAGTGCAGCTGTGGACACAGGTGGGGAGGGTCAGTGACCCCAGGGACAGACCTTGGGGTTTGTGTGGCCCCTGAGACTCCTCAGGGCTGTGGGTGTCAGTGGAGTCCTAGAGGCTGAACCAACATTGACCATCGGCCAAGCCCAGATCAGAAGACCCGCAGGCCCCAGGCCCGGGCCTGGGGTGACTGTCCCGAAACAGACCCACATCCCCTCCAGGTTCTGGTCACTTCTCTTAGCTTATGGCCCAAGAACCACCCAGGAAGCCCAAATCAGTGGCCTCTCTGGGTGAGTCCCCACAGGCGGGGCTCTGGGGTGTCCACGGATGCTCTCGGGCCCCAGGTGAGAGGGTGGGGCTTGGTATCTCCAGGGTCAAGCCTAACTTGTCAGAGATGCTTGTATCCAGTGTTCTGGGGGTCAACTTGACCGGTGCTGAGGACTACGGGGCCTTCACCTGTTCCATCCAGAACGCCAGCTCGTCCTCCTTCACTCTGCGCAGAGCTGGTGATGGGGGTGCCCCGGGCAGAGAGTGGGAGGGGACCTGGGATGCAGGGATCCGAGGCTGGAGGGTGCTGGGGGCAGTGCTCAGGCGACCCGCCCACAGGCCCAGCAGGCCACCTGGCAGCGGTGCTGGCCTCCCTCCTCGTCCTGCTGGCGCTGCTGCTGGCCGCGCTGCTCTACGTCAAGTGCCGCCTGAACGTGCTGCTCTGGTATCAAGACACGCACGGGGAGGTGGAGATGAACGGTGCGCGGGGCCCGCGGGCGGGAGGGCCGGCCGGGCTCAGCTCTGCGTGGGGGCGGGGCAGGGCGGGGAGACGTCACCCCTGGAGGGCTCCGCGGGCGGGCGCACGAGGGCGCAGGGCCGGGTCGGTGGAACGCGAGAGGTCAGAGCCAGCGGCAGGAGCGCACCTGTGGGAGGGGGCTGGGGGAGCCGAGACGCTGGGGGCCCAGGGGCGGCCGCGCTGACTGGCCGCCGTCTGCAGACGGGAAGCTCTACGACGCCTACGTCTCCTACAGCGACTGCCCTGAGGACCGCAAGTTCGTGAACTTCATCCTGAAGCCGCAGCTGGAACGGCGTCGGGGCTACAAGCTCTTCCTGGACGACCGCGACCTGCTGCCCCGCGCAGGTACGGCCCCGCCCCAGCCCCTGCAGGCCCCGCCACTCAGGCCCCGCCCCGGCCACCTGCAGGCCCCGCCACACAGGCCCCGCCCCGGCCACCTGCAGACCCCGCCACACAGGCCCCGCCCCGGCCACCTGCAGGCCTCGCCACACAGGCCCCGCCCCGGCCACCTGCAGGCCCCGCCACACAGGCCCCGCCGCAGCCACCTGCAGGCCCCGCCCCGCCGCTCAGGCCCCGCCCCGGCCACCTGCAGGCCCCGCCCCGCCGCTCAGGGCCCGGGTCCTCGTGGCTTCCGGCGCCCGCCCCGCCCGGGCCGGTCTGACGCCCGGTTCCCGCAGAGCCCTCGGCCGACCTCCTGGTGAACCTGAGCCGCTGCCGCCGCCTCATCGTGGTGCTTTCGGACGCCTTCCTGGGCCGGGCCTGGTGCAGCCACAGCTTCCGGTGCGTCCCGCGCGGGGTTGGGCGGGCCCCAGCCGCGCCCCAGCTGACGGTGCCGCCCCGCAGGGAGGGCCTGTGCCGGCTGCTGGAGCTCACGCGTAAACCCATCTTCATCACCTTCGAGGGCCAGAGGCGCGACCCTGCGCACCCCGCGCTCCGCCTGCTGCGCCAGCACCGCCACCTGGTGACCTTGCTGCTCTGGAGGCCCGGCTCCGTGGTGCGGGGCTCGGTCGGGCCAGGACGGGGGCTGGGGTGCCGGGGGGCGCGGGGGCGGCGGGCGCCCTGTGGCTGGGGGTTTTGTGAGTGGGCTCTGAGGGAGGTTCTGTGGCCCGCCCCAGCGGAGAGAGCAGGTGCGCGGCGGTGGCAACCGTGGGTCCCCTGCAGGTAGTGCTCCTGGGGCCAGGGCGGCCAGGGGCTTCCATTTGCGCCCCTTCCCGTGTGTTCACACGCAAATGGCCCCAACCTGGCCCCCAGACGCCTTCCTCGGACTTCTGGAAAGAGCTGCAGCTGGCCCTGCCGCGGAAGGTGCGATACAGGCCGGCGGAGGGAGACCCCCAGACCCGGCTGCAGGACGACAAGGATCCCATGCTGATTGTTCGAGGCCGTGTCCCGGAGGGCCGGGTCTTGGACCCAGAGCTGGATCCCGACCCGGAGGGAGACCTGGGTATGCCCACCCAGCCCACTCCTGACCGGAGCAGCTCAGCCTGGGGTGGATGGGCAGGCGCAGGGCAGGGGGCCCAGAAAGGGACTGTTCCCAGCATTGAGCGCCCTGCAGCCCTGGGACGGGCTTGATGTCCCCTGAAAGCCCTCACTGCCTCAGGCCCAAGGCCTGCCTGGGGACTTTCTGACCCTCACATGGCCCCGTGGCAGGGGTGAGCAGGGACTGACCCCAGGGCAGTGGCCCCAGGGAAGGCAGACTGTGCACGGCCCAGCCTCAGGGGTCGCCACGTCCCCTCCCCAGGTGTCCGAGGTCCTGTCTTTGGGGGGCCGTCAGCTCCGCCGCATGCAAGTGGGGTCTCGCTGGGAGAGGGCCAGGGCAGTGAAGTGGACGTCTCGGACCTCGGCTCCCGAAACTACAGTGCCCGCACGGACTTCTACTGCCTGGTGTCTGAGGATGACGTGTAGCCCCCACCCCACCCCCGCGTGCAGGATCACCAGGGACATCTGGGGGCAGAGGCAGGTGGGTCGTTTCTGCAATAGGCAGGACCAGGACCCCATCCTGTAGCCTGGACCCTCAGGAAGGGGTCTGACCCGAGCTTCCTCCTAATGCCAGTAAATAAAGTTGTTTTGGATTCTGCCTGGGCCTGGCTATCCTCTCCTGGGGCAGAAGGGGCCTGCACTGTCCGGGGCAGAGCCCCCTCAGCCTCCCTTTGGCTGCCCTCTGGGCTCTCCACGCCCCTTCTCATCCACTGTGCCAGCCAGTCACCATGTCTGCCCGTCCTCCATTCTGAGCAGCTCAAGTCCTCCAGTCTCCCTGCCTGGCCCCTGCTTGGGGGTGTGACGTCCCCAGTCTCCCTCCGATCTGGGCACATCCTGGAGGGGTGTCCAGTTCTGACCTCAAGTTCTGAGCTTTGCAGAAGCTTTTTGTTGTAAAGATACCAACAGGAGCTTCACAACCAAATGGCCTGGCTCTGGGTAAGCTAGGTGGGGATGTCCCAGAGCCTACTGGACCCCAAGCCTCAGTGGCCAGGGCATCTTCAGGCACAGGGGGCAGACCTGAGTTCCCCGGTGCCGGCCCGTGGTGGGCAGAGAGGGTGTTGTGTGCATTTACCACGTGAGTGCGCTGTAGGAGGCAGCCCTGCCTCTGGCCACTCTGCTCACCAGGCCCCCAGCTCTGCTGCAGTTGTGCCTGGGGTGTACTGAGGCTGTCCCTGCTGTCCATCTGTCCCTCTACCCTCTCCGCCCTGCAGAGCCAGCGCCCCTCTGCTGGACGCTCCATCCCTGTCCCGGGTCCTCAGACCTTGGGAGGCTTGTGTGTGAGCTCAGGCTGTGAGTGTCCTTGGGGCAGGTGGGTGCACTTGGGGACACTGGGGACACTGCAAGTCCGGGACCGGCCACCCAGGTGGGGCAGCTGTGGAAGCATGTGGGGCAGTGGATGTGTTCATTGCCATCTTTATTTCTGTGCCAGCTGCCCCGTGGTGCTGCCAGACCACGGCTGGCCCCACCTCTGCCAATGTGCCCAGGTCACCGCCCCATGCACCCAAGCTGCCTCAAGCCCTGCCCCTCCCCCTGCCCTGCGGAAGCCAAGTTCCCGGCTGTGAGCCCCCACCCCTCCCGGTGGTCTAGGCCTCTCATTGCACAGGGCCCCAGTAAGAGGCCCCTTGGCGTCAGCCTTCTCCTCCAGGCCAGGCTGGCGCGGCGGAGCTGAGCCTGTCCCTCGGAGGCTGGGCCACATCACCTTCTCCTCCTCCAGGGTCTTGCCTATGGGCCCAGGAAGTCCTCCTTCCGATAGCCCTTCTGTGGTGAGGGGCCGGGAGTCAGGGTGCACACCTGCCCATGGGGCCTGCCCTCCCTGTGCCCTGCTGTGCTCCCCAGTGTGCTTGGCGTGACCCCTCGTTCCCGGGTCCCTGGTCTGCATCTTCCCACTACCCTCTTGCTGGGCCTCCTGCTCCACGGCCCTCCCCGACGTGGGCCCTCCCCGTGCCCTGCGCTCAGGGCCCACACCCCGCGGCCCTGCTTGCCCTGGGCTATAGGAACATACCGCCCGGAAGTCGCGGTGGAGCTTGTTGTACTGCCACAGGTTGGCCAAGAGGCTGGAGGCTGCCCGGGAGGACTTCTCGCTGTCGGGGCTGGGGGTGGGGGGAGTCAGGAGGTGACACACATGGCCAGAAGGCTGGGTGGGCCAGAGAGCCCTGCCAGGCTGCTGCAGGGTCGCAGGGTCGCCTCACCTGTCCCGCTTCTTCTTGATGAAGATGAGCTTCCGGAGCCCGTCGAAGTAGAGCAGGTCTCGGGCAGCGATGGGACTGGCGACCACCAGGTTGTTGAGCACAGCTATGATGTTGACCAGCACGTCAGCTGGGGGCGACTTCTCACCCACGCTGCCAGGGAGCTTCTCGATCAGGTGGCTCACGACCTTCGTGGCTGCCGGGAGGTCAGGAGGTCAGTCCTCGCCCCCACTCCCGGCTACCTGCACCTGGGCCCCCTGCCTCCCCGGGCAGCTGGCGAGCCTGTGCGCTCCGCCCAGCGGGGGAGACGGCAAGCAGGGAGAAGACCACGTCCGGGTGTACGCCCGGCTAGGCGGGCCGAGGGCGGCCCGACTCACACATCTCGTCCTTGTTCCTGGCATTCCGAGATAGGTTTCGGATGAGGCCGGTCAGCGAGCGCAGCTGGTGGTGGTCTGCGGTCCGAACACGGTCCAGCAGGGGGTTCAGGATGCGTTCCTGCTCCAGGGCCAGGCGGCTCAGCACGCCAGCCCACTGCGGGGACAGGGTGTGAGCGAAGGCCCCCGACCCTCAGGTCCAACCGGAGGTCCTGAACAGCTTCTCTGCCTCCTGCTGCCACCAAGGGGTCTCTGCTTCTGCCGTTCCCCAAGCTCAGGCCCCGTCAGCCGTGACCCAGATTGGGAGCCCCCCTGACCCCCATGGGGAGCCCCATGCACACATGGCCCAGGGCACATGTGCTGGATGCTGACCTCAGCTGCCGCCTCCCTCCCACTACCCCTCCCTGCCAGACTGTGACCCCTGGGGGCAGGCTCTGCCTCACTGCCTCTTCCCCAGCCCAGTCCCACCCTGCGGTCTCCCGCGGTGATGTTCTGCAGCGCCCCGGCCGCCGCCTCCGTCGTGTGGCGGTTGAGCTCACAGCGCTGCAGCAGTCGGTTGTACAGCCCCACAATCTGGGGACTCCACAGCCACTCCAGGCCCTTGGGGTCCTTGGACACCTCCGCGAAGGTGAGCGTGTCGGCCGTCAGTGGCAGCTGCTCGGGAGGGCATCGTGGGTTAGCGCGTCGGTGGCTGGCCACCCCCGCCCCCCGCCTGCCCAGGCCAGGGCCCACCTCGCGCAGCCGCCGGCTCTGTGGCGTGAAGCAGCCCACCACCTCGCCGGGCGGCGCCCCCGCCATGTCCCTGCGGCCTCGGCCCTCCAGCCGCTGCAGGGCGGAAGGTGGCATCTCGTCGTACAGGCGGTAGGACAGGTTCCGCAGCACGCACACGGCGTTCTCCACGCTCTGGGGAGGGGGGCAGGTGGTCAGAGTGGCCCCCTGGCACACCCGGGCCCAGGGGAGGGCCTCCCTCACCTTGTCCTCGCACTTGCCCACGTCCAGGGCGTGGTTGATGTAGGTGACCAGGGCGTCCACCAAGCCGTGGCACTCGCGCATCTTCTGGCGGGTGGCCTGCGAGGCTGAGCTGAGGTTCCTGGGGACCGAGGCAGATCAGAGCCCCCCATCCCAGGCCCCACCTAGGGCTGGGGTCCCCGAATGCCCGTCCATGCCTCCTGCTCCTGGCCTCACTGATCTCCCATCCCCCAACCCACTCCTTGCGGTGGGAGGGCTACGAATGTCAGATCAGGTCCCAGATTTAATGAAACCTGAGCCTGCACCCCCCGAGTCTGCTGACGCCCAACCACAGCCACACCTGGTGGCCACACCTGGCCTGTCCCCCGTCCTGCCCCAGTCCCTGCGTCCTCCGGACTGTGCCCTGCTCCCAGCCCCTCCCGCTGGCTGCACTGGGTCACCCAGGCCTCAGATTAAGACGCATCTTCTCACCCCCCAGCACCGCCTCTGCTACCGACGCCCGCCGGCGCACCTGAGGAAGCCGGTGGCGTTGTAGAAGATCTCAGCCTCAGAGGCGTTCTGCTGGATGAGGGGGGGGCCCCCGGCTCCCGACAGGGGACTCAGCACCAGGTCTGTGAGCTGCTCCAGCGTGTCGCGAGCCAGGCGGTCCTTCAGGTGGTCGCTGGATGAAAGGTTCCACAGAATCCCTGGGCAGGTGGGGCCGGGGCTGCCGTCAGGGTCACCCCCAGCTGCCCTCTGTTTTTCTGGGGCTGGTGGGGAGGGGGCTCCCCTTCCCCTAGGGCTGGCCGGGGGTTTGTGCTTTATCCAAAAACCCCACTGGGGAGATGTGAGGGTGTCTTGTGGGCTACAGGGATGGGACCAAGCAAGAGAGAACACGTGGGGATAGCAGAGGAGGGGACAGGCGGAGGGTGGGACAGGCAGACCGTGGGACACAGGTGGCCCAGAGGGGACAGGCGGAAGAGGGCACAGGCTGGGGGGGACAGACGGAGGGGGGATAGGTGGAGGCAGAAGGGGGACCGGCAGAGGGGGTACAGGCAGGGGCGACGGGCGGAGGGGGACAGGCAGAGAGGACAGGCGGAGGGGGACAGGCGGAGAGGACAGGCGGAGGGGGACAGGCGGAAAGACAGGCAGAGAGGGACAGGCTGGGGGGACAAGTGGCACCTGTGACGTTCTTGCGCAGCTCGTCGTCCTGCTCCCGCAGTGTCCGCAGCAGCTCGAATATCCCGTTCTCCTCCACCAAGGCCAGCTTGTTGTCTGTGTTGTCATAGATGAGGTTGCGCATGGCGCCGGTGGCGTGGCGCTGCACCTCCTGGTTGGCGTGGTTGAAGAGCTTCACCAGCCGGGGTATGGCCTGAAGGCTGCGGGCCTGCGGGCACAGGGACAGGGTGTGCACACACGTGTGAAGATGCAGACTGTGCAGGTGTGGAGACATGCGCAGACATCACACACGTGCTAATGTATGTAGGCGTGTGCAGGTGTATGCAGATGTATGCAAATTGCACCCTCTCACCCGTCTTCTACCGAGGGGGCTCTGCACAGGGTGGGGTCTTCCCAGTCACTTGGGGATCGGCGAGGGGTGGCCGGGGGCCAGAAGTCAGTGAGAGGTGGGGGGCTGGCAGGGTGTCTGCTGGGGGGTGGTGGCTGGGGCCAGAGGTCGGTGAGAGGTGGGGGGCTGGCAGGGTGGCTGCTGGGGGGTGGTGGCTGGGGCCAGAGGTCGGTGAGAGGTGGGGGGCTGGCAGGGTGGCTGCTGGGGGAGGGTGGCTGGGGCCAATCACCTGCTTCTTGGCCGCGGCATCGCTGTAGCACCTGTGCTGGATGTAGGCTGCTCCCAGCACCTGCAGGTTGGGGTCTGAAGCCATGAGGTACTTGACCGCTGAGGGCAGGTCAATGTCATCAAAACTGCAGAGCCAGGGGTCAGGGGTCAGGGTAACCTCGGGTGCAGGCCACAGCCTGGCAAAAGCCCCTCCCTGTGCCAGGCCCGGCTGCTCACCCGCTGCTGAGCCTCTGCAGGGAGCGGTGGCCGCAGTAGCTGTCCAGCCCACGCACGTCAGGCAGGCGGCCTGAGTCAG